ACACGCATGGGTCAACCAGCTCCACAATGAGGCATTCTCCAGAGGCATTCCTTCCACTGTCCGAAAATTGAGCGAATCTTGATTCGTCTGAGAATAATACGGTCTTCCAAAAGTCCAGAGGCTTGGTCATAATATCACTTGTCCACTTCTTTCGTCTGACTATGTTGGCAGGTCTTAATAAGGGCTTCCGTCTAGCTGCTCTGCAACGATAACCCAATCTGTGGAGAATCCGTTGAACAGATTTCGGGCTCATCCCACCAACTTTGGCCACTTCTGCAGTCGTTAATCTGGGATCCATTTCGATGCTCCTCTTGACAGCCCTTTTTGTCTTTCCGATGGACCAGGACGACCCGGACGCTGCTCAGTTGTTTCCTTGCCGTGTTTCCTGAACTGCACGATGATTCTGTTGACTGTCGAAAGCGGGATTCCCAAATTCTGCGAAATTTGCCGCTGACTTATTCCACCATCTGCTTGACCAACTATCCTTCCTCTAACAAAATCTGACAATTCGAGAGAACCTTGAGTTCTAGGCTATATAAATGAAAATGGTCCGCACACTAATTATCTTGTGCTACAACATGTACTCTGTGAACACAAATTAGTTAGCATAAATCAGTTAAATGACGAAAAATTAGGTGTCTATTTACCTGTGACCACTCAGTGTAGTTTGTGAAAATTGAGAAAGGTTATGAAAGTATTCCATTAAATGCACCTAACACAATGAATATCACTTGCTAAACGTAGCACCTTTTAGAGTTATATTGCATTTTTGGTACAGCGTATTATAGGAAACGGATGTCTTTTGTGAATCTTTAGTGTCATAGTCACTGTGTTTTATATTTCATAGTAAGCTGTTTCTGCCCAGTTAAGTCTTAAGATAATGACAGAAATGCTTCAGATTTTTGTTTAGAATAAATTATTATGTGTCTTTAGTTTTAATAATTGCATAAATAATAATTTAGTTTTTGCTATATAAAATATTTGATAATTTCAAAACTAAAATATCCTGCACATGTAAAATGTGGAAAATATATCTAATGTGGTCCTGCTAACCGACCAAACACCACGCTACTATATTTTCTTTTGCATGTGGTGGGAAACTTATACGTTTATGATAGGATTTCCCCTTAATTAAGTTCAAACATATACGGGCTGGACGTGGCACCGTTGTTTGTGTGCTCGGAATGTGAATCTGAGGGTTCATGGTTCATGACCTGTTGCCGCAAAATCCCGCTCTGCACTTTCGGCATGTTAGAGTCACGCAATAAGAGCCACGGTCAAATCTCACTATTCGGTCAGATATAAGCTGTCCAAGAGCCAACGGTGGGTGCTGTTGACTAGTTGCTTTACCCGTTCAAAATTAGGAATATGCGCAGTTAGGAAAAAATCTGAAGCAAACAAACCAACCAAAAATCGCTTCAACCACTCTTAATTGACAGACATACTTATTGTTTATCCATATCTTTATCTCTGGCGCCATGATAATCAGAAAACTTCGTTATATCTTTGATCTGTAAATATGTGTATATCTTTTCTGTACAGTAAGTAAAAACAAGACCTGCAGGAATCCTAGATTATGATCCCTAAAGGCAAGTACCCGAATTTATTACCACAAACATTTTACCGCCATCATAATTATATAGACGTTCCAATTACTTAAAAAAAACTGACAAAAACCCCGCCACGCTTTCATCAAGTGGATTTGTTATCATACGATAAGTCAGAATATACAGGGTGTCCGAAAAGTCTGTAACCATAGGTGATTTGCAGCTTTTTAAATTTCAAATTGTGGCTGATTATGGCGCTTTCAAAGCATGAGAATGTCGAGTTATGGTAAAACACATTGAGTATAAAAAGGTTGTTAAATCACATGAAAAATCATTTAAACTCTAACCCTTTCTACAGAGTGTCTGAAAAGTTCAACGAATTTTACAGAATGTGCTGCACATGCTGTCCCTGTAATTCGAAACAAGTTTGGATTAACAGCAGAATATAATCAATGTTGGTGTTTTTATATTCCCAGCTAATGCTCAAGATACTGGAATTTTGTAAGGCTTTTATTTGCGTTTCACCTGGTAGTCAGGCGAATTTTTAATTCATATTTGTAAAATCCCAAATTATGCTGCATCTACAATTTATCATACTGTTAAAAAATTTTATTCATATGACGTTCCTTGTAGCGAAAAACCCAAACTTTTTAAAATAAATATTCTTTCCTTTTACGGATGTATTAATTATGTGTGTATATTAATTTGTTTACCAACTCAGCGAATTTTAGATATAAAAAAATTAATTACTCATGTTTGATTTTCGGTGGCTATCTTCGGTTATTTAAAATCGTCACCTTAAGTGTTTCCAGTCTGTGGCAATGTCGTAGACATTCAGAAACTAAATTGAAATAGACTATTTTGGCTTCTGCATTTATATGATTCCACTAAGTATAAAGCATGTAACTCTAATAAATCTTGAAACATGCTCTTTAAATTATTCTATTTGTAACAACCCATGCTTCAAATTAACGAAATGATAGAGCGTTTCTTTCATTTAAGTTATTGTTTACTTATATTTATTATAAATAATTCAAGACATATATAAAAGAATGTTTTACAGCTGGTGAGAATTAACATGAAACTAGTGACTTTTTTTCAGCCTTAGGTATTATGTGTATTTGTAAGTTTTCGTGACTTTTTGTCATGTTAGTGGAAAACCGTAGAATGTAATTGTTTTTCGATCTATTTTGATGTGTTTTCTCGAGGACAGAAAGTAGCCACTACTATGTTGATTTGTGCACCAGTTTTTATGCAATTGAAATTCTAGGTTCTCGTATTATACCTGACATAGTGTATCTTTTAGCAAAGGACAGATTCTTCTATTTTCCCATGGTTAAAATATAACAATTTAAAACTGTTCACAAACACATAAAACAACTAATCCCCTGCATTTAAACACCAGGTTACCTATCTAATTTGTTTAACCATCAATAATAATGACAGTTATTTATAAAACGGGTGTACTCAGTTTAATGTTCCTTTATATTTTAGCGAAAATATAGGTGATATTATTGTGTCACAATATTTCTCACTTGATATATATTACATGAAATAGAATTAAACTAATTACAAATTTTAAAAATAAGAGTGAAAATCCATAAGACCTTGTGGAAATGTTTTCCTTTTCTGTTGCATAATATTGTAAGTTAAACGTATCTTTTGTTGAAAGTAACGTAATAAGTATATATATATATATATTACTCATATTCTTTGATGATGCCACTTAAAATATTAATATTTTCATCAACAGCTTCGCATGATGACGTAGTTGAAGTTGTTAAGATGGCGAATAAACATAATGTTGTCATTATTCCATTTGGAGGTGAGTGAAAATATTTTGTTATTTAATACAATCTTGTCTAAGTTTTATTGCCATAAATTTTTATTTTCATACAAATATTTGTTTGAATTAAAAATACTTCTGATTTCATACTTTTAACTGAGCCTTAACAATGTGTTATTTAAACTTCTAAAACGATACATAGCGGAAAGCTGTTTGTGTGAACAATATGAAATGTTTTCACTAGGTGGCACTAGTGTATCAGGAGCTTTGGAGTGCCCAGAAGAAGAAAGGAGAATGATCGTTTCCTTGGATACTACTCAAATGGTAAAAATAAGATCAGCCTTTTTTTCTTTTTCATGTTGGAAAAATGTTTCTTTTGTTTTATATGTGGTATTAAATATTACTTAGCAAAACACGCCATGGCAAAAAAGACGCTATCATGACACTAAACAAATGAACAGCTAGGTAAAAAAAATCACCATAAGTCACGTGTAATAATACCCAGCTTTATCAATATGATGGAAGTTAAATGTAAATAGTTTGTTTATATAGTTATGAAATAATCTATAAAAGAATGAAAGTTATTAATTCGCACCATAACGGATAAACAATTTTCAGAAATAAACGACTAGTTACTAGAAGTGAAACAGCTGTAATCCAAGTATACATCAGGTTTTCAAGATTTATAACGTTATCTGTTTCTTTACTAATTCTATCAGTCTAGAACTAAAATTTAAAACAACAACAAGCGTTTAGCAGAAAGTTTGCCAAGTATTTAATAGTTTGCATTATGCGGATCAGACAAGATAGAATTCTTTTCCCCGAAAAATAGGAATGGGGGATGAATGTGAATATTATTATGATGATTTCGGGAAGTAATGTTAATATTATGAGTTCTCAGTAAACGTCACGGTGTTATATGGCATAGATATAAAGAGGTACAAGCTGCCTGAAGATGCGAACTGCTTTATGATAAATAATATCTTAAAGTCTTACCTTTCAAATGAATATATTATCAATTACAACTTATAATACTGTCAAATTGTATACTATAATGAATTGATTCGCAGCTACGCAGTCCACCTGGTACTATTACAAATAATACCACTCCTTTTAGCTCAGCGGGAAGTCAGTGGTCTTATAACGCTAAAGATCGAGTTTTGATTCCTGCGGCGGGCAGAACACAGATAGCTCATTGTATGGCTTTGTGCTATAAAACAAACAAATAATAGCGGGCTAACAAATTGAAATACAAAGAACACACATGTAGAGGTACTTTCTGTTCTAAACACGTTTCACACAGTTCTGGATGTAAGATTCGTTAAGGTCTGAAAGCGTACTGTTCAAGGGTTCTAAAACTTATTGGTCTAAAGAAGTTTAGTTTCCGAAGTGATGAAGAAACGTTTAATATATATATATTCAACCACTCCCTCATTGACATAATGTTTATAACATAAAACTTGATGGGTGAGATTAAAGAGGTGTAACTACAGTGGATAAATGGTTTGTTCTCAGTTCTTGGTGTGTGTAACGTTTGATGTGTCTATAATCAACAACCCCTGACGGACACTATGTATATAACATACTTGATGGTGAGATTAAATTAGTGTATAAATGAGATGTGTAACTTTGAAGATGTCTGGAAAATTTCTAACCTGGCACTTTGAGTTAGATGTCTTCGAATAAGTAATTTACATCTTTATTTTTTTATTTTACGATTCAGAACAAAATATTATGGGTCGATAAGAAGAACCACACAGCCCACATTGAAGCTGGAATATTGGGTAAAGACTTAGAATCTAAGGTAAGTAATGTAAAAATATGTTTGAATTTTCTCACACAGAACCACTTCAAAACAAATTTCTTGACTAAACTACTGGCCGGTACCATGTTTTAACACTGTGTGTTCTTTGTGCAAATAAAGCGTATATATAAAGTCCTAACAAATTCTGTCTGAACCAATCAACAAATGAATTTAACAAGTTCAGATTGTACACAATTAACCTGAAGTACCTTTCTCAGATCGAAGAAGTTGATAGTTTCTATTAATATATTTAATAAGTATCCCAGAATTAGGTAGTGCTTCAAAGAAACATTACTTTAAAAAAAATATGGATTTAGCTCACACGGAGCAAATACACGAGTTGGCTTTAGAGCACGGTAAACATAGCCACGGGGCCGAACACAGTTTGTTACTAGTTTTCATGTCTCTAACAGTTTTCCATAGCGTTAGAAATATTGATTCTCGTAGTTTACTCGTAGCTAAAGTCCGTCCTCTTTTAACGATTTACAAACTTCCTTAGACCTAAAATTATTCTACGTTTACACACTTATAACTCAACTGTTTGTTAAGAATAGTTATAATTATCTCATGCAACTTGTAAGTTATAATACATTTGTAATATATTCTATAATGTTTTTTTTTTCATTCCGTTTACTTCTTTACTGAATATCTAGGTAAATTAGTGATTAATGATACTACAGTTGTAGTCAATAAATAACTGTATAACACTATTTTCAGATTTCGCAGAAGATGGAATAATTATATTGCGAAATGTTCGAATCTTGTAACTAGAAATGTTTTGTATTTTGTTAACCGTCTTCATCTTTATTATTAGACCTAGTTTTCCCCATCATGAATCCATTACTAATGAAACACAGTGGTGTGCCGTAAAATTTTAAACTCAAAATCCAAAAAATAACTGTTTTTTCATTATGTACTTATACCTATAATCAAAAATGGTGATAAGTAACGAAACTTGAATGGCGTTTGTTATTATTTTGGTAATATTTATACACATGATAACATTTTTTAACTTAATGCAAGTAAACACTTTTAAAAATATCAAAACCATATCGTGTTGGGTTTTCTTTTCAGCTTGCTGAGTACGGATTCTGTACGGGTCATGAACCAGATTCAGCAGAATTCAGTTCTCTGGGAGGTTGGGTAGCCACCAGGGCATCTGGGATGAAGAGAAATATCTATGGAAATATAGAAGATATGTTGGTCCACGTGCGGATGGTAACATCTCAAGGTGTCGTGGAGAAAAATTGCCAGGTAGGCTTCCTTAACGTGACGGTGTACTGTTTGAAAGGGGGATTTAAACTAAGCGAAGGGTTTTTTTCTTTTTGTAGTAATGAGAAAAATTGTCGGATTGGCTTGTTTATCATGATTGTGTACCGTTTGAAAGTAAGCAATCTTTCTACAGTAGTGGTAAAAGAATGTTTTTATAACATAACGAACTGTAATACATCTTTTAAGTATGTTGATGCAGTATTGATAAAGGAATAGATACCATTTATCTTTCTGGAAAACAAACTTTTGCCAATCAATACCCTCTAAGAAAAAAAAAAGACAAAAATAAGGAAGTCTATAATCTGAATATTTTCGAAAAGGTCTTTCTTCATTTTGGACAACTGGTAAAGAAAGTTCTACCTTTAGAATGCGCTGGAGTTGTAGGACTTTTTTGTCTTTAAATTATTTTTTGAACCTATGAGTATTTCTAATTCTAAGAAAAAAGGTTCCAGCAAACACACCTCTAGCTGTTGAGAAGGTGAGAATTAAAGGTGTAAATTTAAGCTAAATAATAGCTCACACTTCTGATATGTGTATAAAAGGTATGGATGTACAAACAGAATAGAAAGTCATGTAGGTGATATGTGAAAATAAAAAAATTAAACAAGACATAAACTTTTAATAAAATCACTTTCACTAAGATAATTGCATTATAGCTATAAAATGTTATGAATACAGTTGTCCTACAGTGGCTCAGTGGTAAGTCTGTAGGCTTATAATCCTAAAATATGAGTTTCAGTACTTGTGGTATGCACAGCATTTATAGCCCATTGTGCAGCTTTTTGCTTAATTCCAAACAAACTTTAGAGAAACGTTTTTGTTTTGCTACTTTGTTCGTGTGCTGTGAATATTCAATGACAACAGATTATGTTATTTCATTCCAAGTGACACAAAATTATCTGGACAGGAAACCAATGACGCTGATCTTAATTGGTTAACAGTATTTGATATGATTTACTTAATAAATGACTGTATGATTAGTGAATTGTGCGCGTGTGGTTGTAATTGTAGGTACTGTAAATTTTGCGATGTAAGTATTGCAAGGTGCGTGTGTTTTAATAAGTATTTGCTATGTACATGTTAGTGTATCCTACTAGTGTTGTTGTGTAAATGCGCTGTAAATTTTCAAGCAGAAAAAAGAAACAAAGAGCTGAGTCAAGCTAGCATTTCAATAACAGAAGTTTGGCAACCTGCTTACTCTGTGGAAGAAATACAAGAGCAAGAGACATTTGGTTTTTCTTGTTTGTGCTAACAGGAAACAACGACAACAAAAAATAACCATCGTTTCAAATATTTGTATTCGATTTTGCAAATTATCAAAAAACTACTTTCTAAGAATTTGTAGCCGCGGCATAGCGATTCATAGAATGGCTCTGAATTTATCAAGTATAAACGTTTAGCTCAAAGCTCTGACATCTCTTGGCCGATTTGAGATCTAATTACAGTTTTTGGATTCAGGAGAACAAACCCTTTTGATTGGTGTATTTGACAACGGTTTTAAGAAACTGAATATACACTGTGTTAAAAGTGTGCAAAGCGTCGAACATTATCTTGGAATCACTTGTTACAAACCCTTTTGATTGATGTATTTGACAACGCTCCAGGTCTAATAGATTAATTTACTCTGATCTTGCATAAAAGAGTTTCAATTTGAGGGTCTAGCGCGCCTTACGCTTGGTATTTCTGGCGCACAAAAATATAACTAATATAAAGGAAAACAAAAAAGGTTTCGTAGTTTAATTTACTCTAATTCTGCCTAAAAGAATTTCAATTTCCGTGGCTATTGAGGATTTCCTCTTGTTTATTTCTTTCCACAACTCTGCGTGTTCATAATGAACTTTTTACATTTTAGTCCTTAGTTTACTCACTTAAGGAGGAATCACATGAAAAATGTTAATGTCAAAATGAATAAAAATTAACTGGAAGATTTTGTTTAGAATTAAGCACAAAGCTACACAATGGGCTATCTGTGCTCTGCCTCCCACGGGTATCGAAACCCGAATTATAGCGTTGTAAGTCCGCAGACATACCGCTGTTCTACTGGGGGCTAACTGGAAGAGAATATAAAGTTTAGAATAATTAACAATATTTGGATTTTATAATTATTTCTTATTATGATGGTTCTCTAGGTTCCAAGAATCTCGTGTGGTCCAGACATCCACCACTTCATTCTCGGATCTGAAGGTATTTATAACCCGGGCTAGGAGAGTAAAATATATGTAGCTGGTTAATAAAAATTATGTAATACACATATGTTTAGAGTTACAAATTTCGAACATACTTTTTTTCAATATATTTATCAGTACGCTAAAAAATCACCTTTTAAGCCAGAATTTTAAGCTTTGAACCCATAAAGTTAACCTAAAAATATTATTTTAGTCAAGTAACTTTTTTGCTAGCGACTAGACTTGTATGCTTAAAGAAGTATAATTTTTTGTAGAAACCAATGTGCTACATTTCAAACAACTTTTACTGTAACTTGTGTTAAAATATAAATATATAATAAATATTTTCTGATTAAATCTGTTTAGGTGCGCCTATTAAAATACGATAAAATATTATATGGTTTAAGAGTGGTTTGTGTTGAAAACATAGAAATGGTTTAAAAACTGAATGTACACTGTGTTAAAAATGTGCAAAGCGTCGAACATTATCTTGGAATCACTTGTTAGAAAGACAATAGACATTTGGTAAATGATTTACAAGATCGTAATGAGGAAATGGTTGTGTGTTTTCAATAAGAACTCCACAGCCTACTTATTGTTTGTTTCACATTGTATTATCATTTCAACATTACCTACTTTATTTGAATTCCACAGGAACTTTGGGTGTAATTACAGAAGTGACACTTATGATTCATCCTCTACCGGAATACAAAAGATATGGGTCAATCATATTCCCAGAATTTGATGCCGGAGTATCGTATATGAGAGAGGTTGCTAAACAGGTATAACAAGCGAGTGAGTTTAGAGAATTGTTGTGGATAACGTGTAACTTGACTGTTTATCATTACATAAGTTAACATAACTTACTGATGAGTAAAGTGAGTGAACTATAGAGTCTTAGAACACGTTTTGCAATTTATATCCTTAATTGGTTACTCTTGCTAGGTGTTTCTGTCAAAGAATATTTTCCACTTCTTTTCACGATTGTTCTTTATAAGCTTGCTTGAAAAATATGTCTATGGATGCATCGTTTATTGAAAGTTCTTTAGACTAAATAGCGTTATTTTACTTTGAATGTTACCAATCAAATTCTTCTTCATGACAAAATTCGCCTTAAACCCATAAAACCGCAGTCACCAGCTCCTTAGCTGAATTCACATAAAATATACTATTAAGTACAAATATATATCAAGTTCAATAAAAATACATTCACACACACATATATATATAAGCAGTTTCCAAAGTTACACTGAAACTATTATAATTTCAGGCACTCAAGCCAGCCTCAGTGCGTTTAATGGATAACGAGCAGTTCATCTTTGGTAAGTTTTGTTTTTTCTTCTCTTGTATAGAGGACAAAATAATAATAAACAACACGTCGTAAAAGTCCATGTTGCAATGTCCGTTCATGCATGCTCTATCTAACGACAGTGTATATTAACAAATAGAGTGTAATGTGGTATCCATTGCAAAATATTTCGCTGCATAGCTTTCATATACAAAATACACCACTATTCCTTGCGGGATTTCTATAATTCATCTAGTACACAAGGACTAGATTTTCCAGCTCCAGTAGACTGATCACATAGCAATCTGTAGGAGCTGCTTCCAGTGACCTGTATGTCTTCATATGGAATAGTGTGAATATGAATTTCATTCTCCAGCTGCTTGAGGTATGCGACAGTTGAACGAATATGTTGTAAATGCAATTTGTGTAAATGTAACTTGTGTCGCTTTTTCAGATTAAGATCCTTTTTATTATGCTCCTGGATTCTCACCTGTTACAAGACGCCATAATTTGCTTAACACGGTTGGGATCCGACTTATTGCAAGTCTCTTTCTTAATGGTCCTGGTCTCCAAGTTGATCCATATTTCTTTGTTTACCTGTACCATTATGTACAAGTGATATCCTTGTCTTGTAAACACTAAATTCCCAATCTGAACACATCTTCATGGTCTGAGTGAATACATATTTTTCGTACGAAAGAACTATTACATATTCTTACCAAAAGCTATCACCTTTTGGAGGCATCACACTATCTACAATCGCAAACAACGTCAAAATGTAGTTCTGATTCGTGGCGTTCCACCGCGACTTTATATCGGTTGCCACTTGAATTATTGACTTTCATAATTAAACTGCTTTTATATAACATACTCAACTCTGTATATTTGAAGAACTAAAAAAACCAGCAAAACATTTAAATACACTATAGTGAATGAAATCTGTTTTGTTGTGTGACATTTCTCCTGATCTTATATGCTTCAAAAATTGGTATGCTATTAGCTGTCAAACTGGAGGATTAATTTGCTTTCTCACTAGTTTTAACATTCGTATATCCAAGAAAAACAATAAAAAGAAAATATTGGAAATGTTTCAAACTTTTTGCCAGTAAGAAGTAAAAATCTAATACTGAATAGTTAACGACCATTTTTAGATATAGAAACTGGCTGAATAGCTTCGACTTTCAAGTTTCAGATATTCACAAGAGACAATTATAAGAGAACATTACAGTTATAGGGTGAAAATAAGTATTAATAAGAATTAATTTCCATGTAATGATAAATATCATACGTTAATAGAACTAGTAATCAATATACGTACGGCTTGAAATTTATAAAATATGGCTTATGTACTATAAATTCATTTGAAAACGCACACATTTGTATCACATCATAGTTGCGTACTGGTTCATGCAGTAAGATACGCAATTAGTGTTTGTTTGGTTTCTATATCGTGACGTTTATAACTAGTTTGTTTCATCCATACTTTCCCTGATTCTGTATAATCTCCAGGAGACACTTATTCTGATAACAAAAGAAATAGCAAATATTTCATGACGTAGTGCAAATACAAGCTTCATAAATGTTTACAAGAATTATATGAAAAATTGATACTAACTAGAGAGCTCGATAGTTGAAATAAATAATCAGATAATACTAGTTTCCTTTAACTATCTTGAGAACTAAGAAAATTGAATGCTAGGGAACATACAGAGAAACAATTACAAAACGCAAAGACTAGTAACATTATGATGCTGTTCAATTGAAAAATGTTCGTGTCAAAGTTATGAGCAAAAACATTTGTGAGTTGCACATAAGAACAATCTAAACGTAGTTCACTACAGAGGTTACAGCTTATTAAAAGGAATCGCATTATGTTGAGGTTAATATTGCATCTAATAACAGTGGATATACTATTCTTTCTTTTCATGCATAACGTTTGTTTAATGTAATAAATTAATCTTCATTTACTTTTAGTTGAACATGTGGTGTTAGAACAACAAAACACTTAAAAGTTAAAATGACTTTTGACTTAATGGAGCTGAGTTCCACAGGCTTACTAAATTTTTTTTATTGGTATTGTTTG